CGGTGGACCGGCGGACCCAGGGGGCCGGCTCGCTGCCGCCCGGCGATGTGACCCAACGACATCGGAAGAAGGATTCCTGGCTCCGGTCGGCGAGGATGTCTTGACCGGTAAGCCACGCGCTTCCACGGGTTCCGTGTTCTGGCGGAAGACCCATTTCATCCGCTGGGGAGAGAAGGCCCTGCTCGGCGGAAATCTCAATGCCCTCCTCCACCCTCCCCTCACGTTCTTCCCGGGGATTGGGCCCCCACGCAGCGACGTCGGAAACTGGTAAGCGTTACTAGCAGAAGCAGCAGCAGCACGCTGGGCGCTAGTAAGGAGCATTCATCATGGCCCAGGTTTAAGGGTGGCACATCTGTTTCGCTCATTAATTCTTTCTTTTTTTTTTAGACGGAGTCATTGCCCTGTCGCCCAGGCTGGAGTGGCAAATGGCTGAAGGATCTTGACTCACCTGCAAACCTCTCCGCCCTCCTGGGTTCAAAGTGATTTCTGATCACTGCCTCAGCCTCCTGAGGCAGCGGCGGATTACCAGGCTGCGCAACCACCATGCCCTGCCTAATTTTTGTATTTCTAGGTAGAAGATGTGGGTTTCACACACTGTGGCCAGGGATGGTTTCGAACTCCCTGACCTCTGATCCACCCACCTCGCCTCCCAAAGTTGCTGGATTACAGGCGTTTTCATTAATTCTTACCCTCACGTTGTGCCTATCCCAATGCTTAGGGTGAGGAAACTGTCCAACGACGCTTAGGCGAGACCCAGTAGGAGTTAAAGACTTTCGACTGGGGAGGCGGTGGCCTCATGCTTGTAGACTCCAGCCACTGGCGAGGCCTGGAGGTGGGCCAGATCCACTGAGTCCCAGCGAGGTTCTGAGACAGCCACTAGCCAACCATGGCAAGACCCTGTCTCTACTAAAAATACAATAATACGCCGGGGCAAGGTGACCAGGCACTGTAATCCCCAGCTACTCAGGATGCTGAAGCAGGAGAAATTGCTTGACCTGGGAGGCAGAGGTTGCAGTGAGCCGAGATCAACCCAGAATGCGTTCAGCCTGGAGCAACGGCGAACTCGTGTCAAAAACAAAAAAAACAAAACTAAACACAACACAAAAAAACAACAAAAAAAAACTTTTCCCCGGTGGCAATGGCTGCATGCGACTGTAATCCGCAGCACACTTCGGGAAGTCCAGGCAGGATGGATGCTCTCAAGCCCAAGGAACTTCTCGAGACACTGCCTGGACACACCCAGCTCAGGGCTCCGGACTAGAGTTAAACCGGGCCAGGCCTGTCTGAACTCGCAGCTACGCGCGGCTGCGGCAAGGCTCTCAAGCTCTGCTCTCCTGCAAGGCTGGCACAGAGGAGCAGGGATCGTGGCGCTGTCTGAGGGCACAGCCAGGTGGGTGTCTGGGAGGGCGGGCTGAGGACACGGTCAGAGCTCTTCACATTGCCTGCTTTTTGTTACATGCCTTTCTGTCTTGGGTTTATGGCCGTGGGCTGGGAAACTCATGGTTGTTGGCTCAAAGCAGCAATCAACAGAGTGAACTCTAACAAGCTGGCTTCTGAAACGTCAGGGTGGGAGCAGCCGGCCAGGGAGGAATGGGGTAAAGAACATGGAGGAGAGGAGGAGGGAGGAAGCTGATGAGGGTTCAACCATCCCTCCTTTCCATGCATTCTCAAGTTCATCGTCACTGTACCCTGTCAAGATGAGAACTGTCTTCGCCATGGTTAGATGAAGAGACTGAGGCTCAGAGACTCGCCCAAGGACACACAGTTAGACAGTGGAGGGGCAGGGTTGGAACCCCATCTGTCTGACTTTAAGGCCGGGGATATTGTGTCGAGGTGATCTCGTCTGTTCTCCCAGAGAGATGGCTGTGTCTGAGACATCTCCATAGCCATGGCGCTGGGCCGGACACAAGTCAGTGCTCGGCGAATGTTTGTTTAGTGGAGGATGGAGAGTGGATGTATGGAGGTACAGCGGGAGGTCCTGTCGACGACACGGAAAGGGCAGGCGGGACGACGCCAGCTTGGTCTTTCGGAGCGCAGGGTCAGGGGCCACGCACCCGCAATCTCCCTGATGGTGACCGGCTGGACCAGGGTGGCCGGCTCGCTGCGCCCCGCGATGTTGACCCCAACGACTCGGAAGAGGATTCTGGCTCCGGTCGGGAGATTCTTGACGGTAAAGCCACAGCGCTCCACGGGTTCCGTGTTGGCGGAGACCCATTCATCCGCTGGGGAGAGAGGCCCTGCTGGCGGATCTCATGCCCTCCTCCCACCCTCCGCTCCCGTTTCTCCCGGGGATTTGGGCCCCACGCAGCGAGTGAGAACTGGGTAAGTTCCTAGCAGAAGCAGCAGCAGCAGGCGCGCTAGTGAAAAGCAGTCATCAGGCCAGTTCTAAGGTGGCCATCGGTTCGCTCATTAATTCTTGTTCTTTTTTTTTAGACGGAGTCTGCCGCGTGGTCGGGCTGGAGTGCAATGTGCGAGTCTTGACGACACTGCAACCTCCGCCTCCGGGGGTTCAAAGTGATTCCCTGCCCAGCCTCCTGAGTAGCCGGGATACAGGCGCGCACCACAGTGCCCGTAATGTTTGATTTTTAGTAAGATGGCGGTTGTCACCATGTGCCAGGATGGTTTTCGAACTCTAACCGTCGAGATCAACCCACCTCGGCTCCCAAAGCTGGGATTTACAGGCGTGTTCAATTAATTCTTACTCAACGTTGTGCTATCCCCATGTTAGGGGTGAGAAACTTGTCCCTAACACGTAGATGAGGACCAGAGAGGTTAAAGGAACTTCGACTGGATGGCGGTGGCTCATGCTGTGCGATATCCCAGAAGGGTCATTTGGTTTTTTGACGGCTGAGGTGGGCAGAGCGATCTTTGAGTCGCAGGGAGGTCGGTGGAGGGGATGTTTTGGTAGTGATGGTTGTTTCTGTGTGGTGTTGGTGGGGTATCTAGCCTAGGCCAAGCCGATGTGGCAAGACCCTGCGCTGATCGTTAAAGGTATGTATATATTTAGCCTGGGCAATGGGTGACATTGGCAACTGTAGATCCAGCTACTCAGGAGCTGAGGACGAGGAGGGAATGTGCTTTAGCGACGCGTGGAGGGCTGAGGTTCAGGCGAGGACCGAGATTCACCCATTGCGTTCCAGTGCTGGGGCAACAGAGCGAGAGCGCGTGTCAGTAAAGGAGCAAAGAATAACAAAACAACAATATATCAATAAAACAAACAAAAAAAAGCTTCCCGGGTGCATATGGCTCCATCTCTGTTATATCCCAGCACTTGTGGAAGCCAATGCAGGAGGATCTCGTCAAGCGAGAGTGGAGACTCGTCCTGGGACACACAGCTCATGGCCCGTGGAAGATGTTTAAACCCTAGTGCGCTTGTTGAGTCCAGTAACACTCCGAAGGCTCTGCTCGGTCTCTTGCAGGCTTGCACAGAGGGCAGGTATCGTGCCTGTCTGAGGCTATCGATCGCAGGTTGGGGGCTGGGGAGGGGCGGTCTGAGAGCTGCACGGTCGAGAAAGCTCTTCACTATTCCTGTTGTGTTACAGCCTTCTGTTCGCCTTTGGGTTATGGCCGTGGGCGGGAATCTATGGTTGTGTGCTTGTCAATGCTAGCAATTTTCTTGAACAGGGTAACTTGGGCTTAACAAGCTGTGCTCTGAAACGTGCAGGGTGGGAGGCTATGGGGCCGGCAGGGATGTGATATGGGTATGACTAAACATGGGATTGATTGAGGAGGGGGAGGAAGCTGAGGATGGGTTTTCATTAGCCATCCCGTCGTTCCATGTAGCAAGTTATCGTCGCACTGGACCTGCAGATGAGAACTTGGTCTTTTCGCCCGTATTGGGTAGGATGAAGAGACTGAGCCTCAGAGAGCGCGCCGTCAAGTGGACACAGCAGTTAGCAGTTGATTGGGGCAGTGGTTGCAACCCGCAATCTGTCTCTGACTTTATTGCGCGGGTATATTTTTGTCTGAGGGATCTCGTCTGTGGTCTCACCGGAGAGAGATGGTGCTGGGTGTCTGAGGACATCTCTCATTAGCCCCCCCCCCCCCCCCTATGCTTTGCTGGGCCGGACACAGTCAGGCTCGCGAAGTGTTTGTTTAGTTGGAGGATGGTAGAGGGGTGTGAGTGTATGGAGACGAGATGGACGAATGGAAAGGTCAGGAGAGTACTAGCAGCTAGGTTAGGTGGACAAGATGGGGGAGGTGGGGGGCCTGGTGGGTGTTGGTAGTATAGGTAGAAAGAAGTATAAGAAGAAAAATAGTGGTAAGAGAGTATGGATATATGGAGAGAAAAATGGGATACTGGCGGGTGCGGGCTCACGCGCGTAATCTCGCATCTTTGGATGGCCGAGGAGCGGTGTGAGCGACGAGCGTGAGGTCATGGTTCGAGACGCAGACGGCTGGCGCCAGCAAGTGAATAACTCCAGCTCTACTAAGAAATTAGGGCAAGTAAACTGTACCTGTGAGCTTTCCATGTGGTGGGTGGCATGGTAACCAGCTGACGCAGAGCTGTAGGCATTTGAGATATACTTGAACCCCAGGGCCGGATGATTGCGAGTGTAGATGGGGTGGTCATGTCTAGTCAGCCTGGGGCGAAAGAGTGAGATCGGTCGTCTCTATAAATAAGATAATAACGTCTCTTTTCTGATTAGGATGGTTGGGATGATTCAAGACGTGACGTGCAGATGGAGAGAAGGATGGGAGGGATGGGGATGGATTCTGGGGTGTAGACAGGAAGTGAGATGCAGCAGGATGGAAGGATAGGTGAGAGATTGACAGGAGAGTAATAGGGAAAAGAGGAGCAATAAAGAGGAGAAAAGGTTGGTCTTGGGCACGGCGCTCAACCTTGTGAAGTCCTCTAGCGATTTTCTTTGGGAAGCTAAGGTGGACAGATGGCTTGAGCCCAAGAGTTTGAGACCAGCCTGGGCAACATGGTGAGACCCTGTGTCTACAAAAAATCAAAAAATTAGCGAGGTGTGGTGGCACATGCTTGCAGTCCCAGCTACTTGAGAAGCTGAGGTGGGAAGATCACTTGAGTCCAGGAGATTGAGGCTGCAGTGAGCTATAATTGTGCCATTGCACTCTAGCCTGGATGACAGAGTGAGATCCTGTCTCAAAAATTAAAAAAGAGAGAGAAGGTTGGGCGCCGTGGCTCACACCTGTAATCCCAGCACTTTGGGAGGCCGAGGTGGGTGGATCACGAGGTCAGGAGATCGAGACCATCCTGGCTAACACAGTGAAACCCCGTCTCTACTAAAAATACACACACACACACACACACAAAATTAGCCAGGCGTGGTGGCAGGTGCCTGTAGTCCCAGCTACCTGGGAGGCTGAGGCAGGAGAATGGCGTGAACCTGGGAGGTGGAGCTTGCAGTGAGCCGAGATCACACCACTGAATTCTAGCCTGGGCGACAGAGCAAGACTCCATCTCAAAAAAAAAAAAAAAAAAAAGAGAGAGAGAGAGAAAAAAAAAAAAAAAAAAAAGAGAGAGAGAGAGAGAAACGAAGGAAGGAACTATGGATGGATGGATGGATGATTGGATGGATGGATGAATGGATGGATGGACAGACGGATAGGTGGACAGAAGGATGGATAGACGGATGGATGGATGGATGGATGGATGGATGGATGATGGACAGGGGGACAGATGGACGAATGGAGGGAGGGATGGATGGATGGATGGATGGATGGATGGATGGAAATATGGATGGGTGGGTGGATGGACAGATAAATGGATGGATGGATGGATAGATAGATGGAAATATGGGTGGGTGGGTTGGTAGATGGAAATATGGATGGATGGATGGATGGATGGACAGAAGGATGGATGGATGGATGGATGGATGGATGGATGGATGGATGGGTGGATGATGGACAGGTGGACAGATGGATGAATGGAGGGATGGGTGGATGGATAGATGGAAATATGGATGGGTGGATAAATGGATGGATGAATGGATAGATAGATGGAAATATGGGTGGGTGGGTGGGTGGATGGAAATATGGATGGTTGGATGGATGGATGGATGGATGGATGGATGGATGGATGGATGGATGAACAGATGGATGGAAATATGGATGGATGGATGGACGGATGGATGGATGGATGGATGGATGGACAGATGGATGGAAATATGGATGGATGGATGTACAGACAGGTGGACAGATAGATGGACAGATGGATGGATGGGTGGATGTTAAGATGGAGGAAGGAAAGATTGGTTAGATGGATAAATGAATAGAAGAAAGAAGAAGTCATAGAGGTAAAAGAAAAAAGATAAATGGGGGATAGAAGGACAGATGGAATGGACAGAAAGTCACTGCTGTCTGGAGGATGGGTGTAGAAAGGAAGAAGGGAGAGAAACACTAGTCACTGGGGGTCCCGTCCGGGGACTTATGACAGTACAGACACAAAACACGAGCAGACCACTGCACCCACCTCCCTCCCTGCACCCACCTCCCTCCCTGCACAGTGCTATTTTCAGCTCCCTGGACTGGACACCCACCTGTGCTAGCCACCACCCCCACCAGGCCTGCCAGGATCACTCACAGCCTTCCAGGCAGTACTCCACCAGGTACCCATCGATGCCGCCTGCCCCGATCCTGTTCGGAGGCCTCCACTTGAGTGTGGTGGTGGTGTCTGTCACATCCTCCACTATCAGGTGCAGGGGTTCACTCGTGGGTGCTGGAAGCATCCAGAAAAAAGAGGATATGGGGGGAATGAGGGGTCAGGGGCCCGCAGGAAGGGGCAGGGGTCAGAGGTAGAATGATTGGTCAGAAGGCCAGGGTGTAGGGTCAGAGACTGATGACGGGCAAAAGATGGGCCAGAGGTGGACGGGGTTGATGGGTCAGAGTGAGGGGGGACATTACCAATAGGCATGAAAGGCTTGGTGTTCATGCTGGGCTGGGAGACCCCTATGGCATTGACGGCGAAGACACGCATCTCATACAGGATGCCCTCGATCATCTTGGTGGACTCATAGGTGGTCTCCGTGAAGACCTCAAAGTTCAGCTTCATCCAGCGCTGAGAGCCCTTCTTCTTCCGCTCCAGGAGGTACCCTGGAGGCTCCAAGCAGAGAGGAGAAGAGGGAACGGGAGGGCACAGGGCACAAGTCAGCTGGGGGAGTGAGGGTCATATCCAGAGGATCGCATGACCCAGGGCGGTCTGAGGTCATGAATCTTAGGTGGATCTCAGGGGCCACAGAGCATTCAGAGGCCACCGGTCCTGGAGTCAGGAATCAAGAGGGGGTCACAGCTCATGAACCAGGGGGCCAGAAGCCATAGAAAAACGCAGGCTACTGGTCAAAGTGAGAATTCCCAGGTCACCAGCGAGTAAAGGAAGAGGGAAGAGCAAAGGGATTCAGATGGCAAAATGGAAAATCAGGGGTCAGAGGCAGGTCACTGAGGATGCTAAGGGCTTTGGGAGGTCAAGGAGAAGGCAGAGGCTGGCGCCGTGGCTGGCGCCTGTAATCCCAGCACTTTGGGAGCCCGAGGTGGGCAGATCACTTTAGGTCAGGAGTTCAAAACCGGCCTGGCCAACATGGTAAAACCCCATCTCTACTAAAAATACAAAAATTAGCCGGGCGTGGTGATGGGCACCTGTAATCCCAGTTACTTGGGAGGCTGAGGCAGGAGAATTGCTTGTACCCAGGAGGCAGAGGTTGCAGTGAGCCAAGATTGAGCCACTGCACTCCAACCTGGGCGATAGAGTGAGACTCCGTCTCAAAAAAAAAAACCAAAAACAAAACAAAACAAAACAAAAAAACGAAGGCAGAAGGAGGGAAGGTCAGAGGTCATGAAGACAGAGGCACTCACCGGTGACCGGCTTCCCCCCATCGTACTTAGGTGGCTCCCAGACAAGGATGGCCCAATCCTCTCCAACCGAGGTGATACGCACGGCCTCTGGGGGGTCTGGGACATCTGCGGGGGGCAGGAGAGTCAGGTGGCCCCTCGGGGTCTCAGGGAGTCACCCCTTGGCCCGGCCACCTTGGCTTTCTTTGCTCACCCACAACCCGCAGGAAGATGGAAGCCACATCCTCGCCGACGGGGTTGGTGACCTTGATGGTATAGCGGCCCTCGTCTGTCCGCTCCGCGCTCTCAATCACAAAGCTGCTGCAGTCCACCCGCTTCTCGATGCGGACCCTGCCCTCAGTGGTCGTGAATACCTGGACATAGCCACAAGATGACCTTGCACCCCATCGTGTCCCCAAGCAAACCCAGGCCTGCCTCTGCCACTTCCCTGCTCAGAACCCTCCCGTGATTCCCCATCGACACACAGAGTCCTCACTCGCTCCACTGCCCTCCTCCACATGCCGTCCTTTGTTAAAAACACCAGACTGGGCCAGGTGCGGTGGCTCACACCTGTAATCCCAGCACTTTGGGAAGCCGAGGCGGGCAGATCAACTGAGGTTGGGAGTTTGCAACCAGCCTGGCCAACATGGTGAAACCCCGTCTCTACTAAAAATACAAAATTAGCCGGGCCTGGTGGTGCATGCCTGTAATCCCAGCTACTCGGGAGGCTGAGGCAGGAGAATCGCTTAAACCCAGGAGGCAGAGGTTGTGGTGAACCGAGATCGCACCACTGCACTCCAGCCTGGGCAACAAGAGTGAAACTCCATCTGGGAAAAAAAGAAAAAAAAAAAAAAAAAACAGACTGCCTTCTCCCAGAGATTTTGCAAGGCTGGTCCCTGTGCATGCAACACTAAACTCTTACTCATCCTTCAGGACACACCCAGAAGACACCTCTTCCAGGAAGCCTTCCTGGATACCCTCAGCTGGAAGTGCTGGCTCCAGCCCCTGGGTTCTCATAGCTTCTAGAACCTCCCTTTATCTCAGCCAGAGCACCCTGGACCGTGGCTGCTTGGGCAGGTGTTTGCGTCTCCACAAGAGTGAAGGCTCCTGAGCGGGACAAGGTGGCTCATGCCCGTAATCCCAGCACTTTGGGAGGCTGAGGCAGGAGTATCACTTAAGCCCAGGAGTTCAAGACCAGCATGGGCAAAATAGTGAGACCCTGTCTCAAATTTAAAAATAAATAAATTTTAAGTAAAATGAAGGCTCTTGGAGGGCAGGAGCTGCATCCGACTCATGGTTGCATCCTCAGCACCTGGTGCAAAGGAAACTTTAGGGGATGTTTGCTGAGTGAGGGAATGGATGGATGTTGAGCCAAGTCTATCCATTTTACAGAAGAGGAAATGGAAGCACAGTGGAGAAATGAAAAATCGAGCTGTCCCAGGGCCTGGGACATGCAAGATTAAAATATTTGTTGGATGGATGGATATAGGAATATATAGATATGGCTGGGCATGTTGGCTCACGCCCATAATCCCAACACTTTGGGAGGCCAAAGTGGAAGGATCGCTTGAGCTCAGGAGTTCGAGACCAGCCTGGGCAACATGGCGAAACCCTGTCCCTACAAAAATACAAAAAATTAGCCAGGCATGGTGGTCCCAGCTACTCAAGAGGCTGAGGCGGGAGGATTACTTGAGCCTGGGAGGTGGAGGTTGCCGTGAGCCAAGACCATGCCACTGCACTCCAGCCTGGGTGACAGAGTGAGATTCCCCCTCTCAAAAATATAGATAGATAGATAGATAGATAGATAGATAGATAGATAGATAGATGCATACATACATACATAGATACATTAGATAGATACATAGATGATAGATACATAGATAGATGATAGGTACATTAGATAGATACATACATACATAGATACATTAGATAGGTACATAGATGATAGATACATACATAGATACATACCTACATATGTACATAGATACATAGATACATAGATACATAGATAGATACATACATACATACATAGATACATAGATAGATACATAGATAGATAGATAGATACATACATACATACATACATACATACATAGATACATAGATAGATACATAGATAGATAGATACATACATACATAGGTACATACATACATACATAGATACATAGATAGATAGGTAGATAGATAGATAGATAGATACATAGATAGATACATACATACATACATACATAGATACATAGATAGATAGGTAGATAGATAGATACATAGATAGATAGATACATACATACATAGATACATACATACATACATAGATACATAGATAGATAGATAGATACATAGATACATACATACATACATACATACATAGATACATAGGGATAGTAGATACATAGAATACAGGTACGATACATACAGAGTACAGTACATAAGTAACATACATAGATATCAAATACATACATAGATACATAGATAGATACATACATAGATACATCATAGATACACTAGATTGATAGATAGATACATACATAACATACATAGATACATACATACGATCAGATACATAGATAGATAGATAGATACAATAGATACATACAGTAGACTACCATACATACATACAGTAGATAGATACATACAATACATACATAGATACATAGATTAGATAGGCGTAGATAGATAAG